TGGAGATCTGTGCACATCTCATATAGCACATTAATGAACAAAAATGATTTCAGAATGGTCACTTGTTCTCTCTACAAGTTTACAGGAGGTAAATATTAGTATGTTCTAAGCATTCTGTGCAAGCATTACTGCACCTGAGTAGAAGATCCAAATTTTAGTGTTAGATATTTGTACTAAAGCTTAACACAGGGAAAAAAGATACATTATCTAAAATATTAATAGCTTGCACATACTGAAATACCAAATTACTAATAAAATCTAACATTCCAATGATAATTTGCTCCATTACTGAAAAATCACCTCCTTGATGCACATCAATTTAGAAAGTCAATTATGAATCATGCTAAAATGGTCACAAAATTAATGCTAATTAAACCTCCAAAATACCAAAGCAATTTATGGAATAAGATGCATCTCCGGAAATTTTTATGAATTTATTACTGCCGTAATTTAGTTTTTTCCTGAACAAGGTAAGAAAGAACTCTGCATACAGTGTGAATGCAAACTTCTTGTCTTACTGATGCTTTGGTAATGGATTAGAGGATGGAACAAAATCTATTCAGTTCTGTTCACTGAAGAGTCTAGATGTCCAAAAACAGACTACTGAAATACAGAGGTGTAAGAAAATCCAATTAACATTCTCTCAAAGAAATCTACTACTGAAGTTGTATACGAATGTAGAAATGAGCCATTCCTAGGACATACCACAGCAGGCTTGAAATAGTTGATAGGAGTGAGGAGGAAGCTTCATTTAGAAACTGCTATTAAGGGAGACAGTGCTTAGAACAAAGACATCAAATTACATTAACCACCTTTCTGGCATTTCTCAAACTACAAACTTTGCTGTTGTTCTTTTCTGATGGCTCTTTTTTTTTTTTTTAAACCCTCATGCTCTCCACTGAGTTACAGCTTTCAAGTCTATTATATCTGTGCTGTTGAAGCAACCTCCACTGCTCCAGTGCCTCCCACTTCATTCTGCTATTAACACTACTTACTCAGCAGTGGAGCTTTTGTCTAAGAAAATAAAAGGAAAGGAAACAGAGTTAATTCACACAAACAAGAAGTGTAAAAAATTAAGTATGAATAAAAAGTCTCCCACAAAATGAGCAGTAAGCTTTCAGAAGTTGAAACTGATTAATTCTCAAAAAACAACTCCTTATCTCGGCAAGTTACACTTGAAAAGGGGAAAGGTCCCCTTGCAGGAATGGGAAAAAAGAGGAGAGAGGCACCTAAAAATCTCAATTCTATCTTTAAACCATCAGTAAGAAGAGATGTAAACTCTGCTAAAGGACAGTATTGTAGCAACTGTTTCATTAAGTACAAAATCCACCCTACAATATTTCACAATGTTAGTTTGAAAATAAATGTGTTCCACAAAAAAAGAATAGCATTTCCACAAATCTGGGGCTCTTTTGTAAACACTTAAAAACTATTTCAATACACAAGATGTAAATTATTCTCTTTTCATTCTTCTAAATCAGTGACAGCAGTAAAAAAATATTCCTGAGCAATTATTTAGGAATTATTTAGCAAAAAGACCGATTCAGAATAAATGTGTATCTGCATAAGTTATTCACAACTGGATACTACTATTGCACAGCAAATAATATATTAAAAGCACTTAGAATAAATATTTTTAAACTATATTTGTGCTGCTGAAAAACAGTGATGATAAACAGTATCTCCAAGCTCTCCTTTCAGGAGGAAAGACATATGCAAAATAAAAATTATAGGAAAAAGTTTCCTGATTAAGATATCATTTATTAGAATGCAGAAATATGTTCAGATATAATAGCAAATTTCAACTAAACAACCTTTATGTTGCAAGGTAGAAAACTCTAAATGATATGGAAATGTAAACAACAGCTTACCTACTATAGATTGCACAACTATCTGGACATCACTAGAAAGACCACTGGATCAGCAGTCAATGCAATCAGATGTTTTTATATACATACAACATCACCATGAATGCTACAGCAATGACAACACTCATACAGAAAACATTTATCAACTGTAACTAAACCAAACAACTGCTAATTGCATGAAGTTTCATTACAATGAATTTTTTAAAAGAGATCATACTGAAAAATAAAAGTTTAACAAGTTAGGATAAAGACACAGAAAGAAGCTTTAAACAGGAAAGCCTGATACAGCAGCCTTATATGACAAGTTCCAACTCCGGTTGCCATCGCACTTACCATTTATGTCCTCCTTTTATACTGAACAGTAATAAGGAATAGGATATAAGTGAAGGAAGCTTACTTTTCAAAGCTTTTAAGAAACAAAAACAAGCATTAGAAAATTATCAGTTGCCTTCTAAATACATGGTTGGCAGAAGACTTCAATGTGTTACATAATTTAAGCCAAAAGAGTTTATCAAGACCGGATACGATTAAAAACTACACCCCAGTACCATAAAATGTTGTGCTAACAAAGAAGCAACTTTTATACTCTCAAAACTGAAATTAACTTTTGTCAATGTATGCACAATGGTAATCTAGGATGACATGAAACTACCACATGGAGTCTGTTTACAGTAAACTAATTAAGAATAAATGAAAAAAAGTTCAGCTGTACAAGTTCTATTAAATAGAATAAAAGATGCATCATTTTGCAATCTCCAGATAACATTTATAATTCTTACTGGCTCCGAAATGCAAAGGGTTTTCCAAACCTCCATTCATATATCACAACCTCAACACAGATCTAAAGACAAATAAATAACAAACACTTGTAGAATGATAGGTCATGCTTAGTTTCATAGCTGCCCTTATTAGAAACATACTAAAGTAAATAAATAATACATTATTCCTAATGTTCTTAAACCCTTTAAAGAGGAAGAATTAAAACTGGAATCAAAGTAGTCATCACATGACTATAATATTCCTCAAAACGTTGGAAAACTTATTAATTATTGTATACATCACTTCAAGTTCACATGGTACAAAAAAAAGAAAACAGCTATGCTTCATATCCCTTCAGTTGACCTTTTGTGGCAGGTTTCTCACTCTACAACTACATCTATATATTCTCACAGCGTATGCTATTCCAGATGAATAAAATCCCAATAAAGGAAACTCAGTAGGAGAGCTACACACACTCTAGAACATTCTTCCACCTTTCTCCCCCAAAATTTCACTGTATAAAATCACATAAATTACATGATTGAAGTGCTTTCCACCTGAACTATTCCTCTTTCTTCCTTATGCTATGACTTTTTCCTATGTCCAGCACACAATCTGAAGAGCCTCTAAACACACAGGTTTCCAAATTTAAATATGTATAACAGCATGAGGATGGCAAGCAATTGAAGCTCATAGACTAAGTAACCTTATCTCAAAGAGCTGCACAAAGCAATTCAGTAGAGGCTGCTGCGGCCAGCATTATCCAGCACTCCCTCAACCTCGAGCTGCAGGGAAAACGCTACTACCCAACAGCAAAAGAAACTGAAAGGAGCTGCTGCCATCTCTTTTCTGCAGTTCTCAGCAGTGAGCAACAGGGATCTTGTAGCTCAGTCACAGGATTATTTTGACACATAACTTACACAATCACAAAGTCAGACTGCCCCCAAAAGATGTTACAATACTGACATGAAATGAAATTACATACTTGGCTCCAGAGAAGTCAGAATCACTTCAGTATTATTTCTAGATTACATCAGATGATTGTTACGTCCTGTTTTGCAAAATATGACTTACCAGTTTAATAACAGGAATGCACTAAAGGATATTTTAAGTTTTCAGTTCTAGGTCATCACCCCCCAGAAATGTATGCCTGAACACAGTTTTCCTTACAGTGCGAGCACAAAGGGAAATAAATTTCCAACTATTTCCAGCTGCAAGTTTCTCAAACGCAATCAGCAAAATCAACTGACAGCAGTTGGTAACATCACAAAGGAACTATTTTGCTTCCTCTCTATCTTTACTAAGAATCTTAAGTCCAAATGGAAAAATAAGATTCCTGTTCTATCTTCACTTAGGAGATCTCAAAACTTATTCAGTATTCTCTTCAGAGTTCTACAGGCAGAGTTATTGTATAGCATGTAAAAGAAACATTACTTCCACAAAGCACAAATCAGAAAGCAGCTGAGAAACCAGCCATTTGTTTCCATTTTATGCATCAAGTTGAACCTGTACAGAGGATCACTATGTGCATCACTTACTGCTTTCCCACTAAAATCCACTTTAGCAGTATGAGGTATGCTTACTACATAAAATTAAAGCACTTAACTGCTTTGTGCTCACTTCACTGCTCTGGTTGGTAGAAACCATACCCATGACCAAAAGAGATCCTAAAAATTTAGAAGCTGATTCCTCTGATAGTCCCATTTTGCTGTTCCCTCAGGACGAGACTTCAAAGGCTGAATAGACCTAAATACATTACTGCTACATTATTTAATGTAGAAATTGTGGCAAAGATCTTTTTCTTCCTTGGAACATTTTGGTCATTTTCAGTACAGATGTGGAGATTTTCCTCATCTAGACTAACAGTAGAGTCTCAAAGAAAGGGGATTTTAGGCTACATGTGAAGCTCCACTGCCTGTTTCTAAAGTATATTATTATTCATAAATTAAGCATTACATAACATAATAAGCAAACAAGCTTTGCAGTATGAATCATTTAAAAATTAAATTTTTCAGCCCAACTAAGGCACCTCCTCATGTCCATACTATCCAGTCTCTGACCTTCCACTTAAAAAAATTAAATGATTTTCTTGAAAAATTAATTTCCTGAATAAAAAAGGAAAATGATAATCTGAACACCTTCAATTAGCTGAAATGTTGAACTACTTATTTTCCTACAAGACAGTGATGTCATAGTTCAATTTAACAGTGCAATAGAAAATTGCACTACTAAATTTGCGTCACTCCACTCATAAGAATAATGGAGTTCTGAAGGAAAAACAGTACACAAGATGGCAGTTCAATAAGACAAAATATTAAAAAAACTAAAAACTGGTATATTTACCATTTCAACTTCAGTCAAAGCTCTACTTACATTGTCCATGAAATTTGGCTTAAATCCTCCCTCCTGCTGCCGTCTCAATTCCTCCTGTTCCCTCTGGCGTAGCATCTCCTCTTCACGTCGTCTGTGCTCTTCTTCATGTCTAGGACATTTTTCAAAAATGACATAAGTTAAGACTCATGATTTATTCAGGCTCATAACCAGTCTCAGGAGTTAACATCAAGCATATAGGAGTAATTACTTACTAGCTTTTAATACAGCATAAGGCACTAATCTACTCAACCTGATGGGCTTGAACATTACCAAAGTGTTTTTGTTTAACGAGTATACAGGTATCCACAACATTAATATTCTTGATCTTCTGGCTACAGTTAATCTGTACAAATGAGTAAGCAGGTTCAAAAGCTTTAAAAAAAATCACTATGGATTACAATATTTCAACACTGCCTACAGCCAAACTGCTAACTCTACACAGTATATTGTTCTTTTGTATTAAATATCTCAAGAAACAAGAGGACACAAGTAGTATGTATATTGCTTCAAAAGCAGTGCCTCCTATTTACTTCCACAGAAACTACAACTGATACAAAAAGCACAATAACACTGCTTGAGAGAGAAAATCTTCAGCTACAAAACACTGCTCTTCAACAGTCACCACCATCAGCTCTGCATTTTTGTCAGTGATTAACAAGAGCCTACATGACACACTTGTAAAAATCTGCACCAGAAGAAGTGACCCACTGTCACTGTCATTGCTGCTGAAATGCATCACCCCTCACCTCACTGTGCTCACATCCACTATTAGGTTCCGCAAAAATGTCCAGCAAACATCAAGGAATGTCATTGGGCACCATTTTTTCCATTCAGAGTTATTCAATGACAACTCTGCTTCATACGCACTTCCATGTCGGACCTCATTTAGTCAGACAACCCCTCTGCTCCAACCGTCACACGGCTACAAAATATTACAGAATATTGGTGCAAAGGTTCAACCTCTACTGCTTTAACACCAACACCCGCCTCAAACATCACAGGCCAACATCATAAGATAGGAGGAATTGCTTTCTGAACAGCCCCTGTATTCATAAGAATCAGCTCGTAAAGAGAAAAGCAATACATCAGAAAACGAAGTGCCACAACGCACTACAGTAAGACAAGAAAACACTCTCAAAACTCCCAAAAGTCTTGACTGTAAATCTGCAATGCTACACTTCTACATGCAGTAGATGAAAACCCCTCAATCTTTCAAGTGTGTTCTACTACAGCTCGATTACACCTATGCTTCCATCACATGTTGAAAAATAAGTCATCATACGAAAATTCACATTAAGACATTTCTAAGCTTTTTAGAAAACTCAGGTATTTACAAAACAACTGAGCTGAAATAAATGAAAATAATATTAGAAATATTCACACCTATTCTTTTATATTAGCATAAGTGACCATTTTTCTATGCAAGAATGTTAACAGAAATGTTTCCTGTTATGATTTTGAAAAACAATTTTTAAATGGTAGATGTTCACATTTTGTATTAAAAGCTCTGCACATCCAAAATATCTAAATTTGTGCAGGCTGACAGCAGATGCATGCTTTAAATTACTGCCACAACTTCATACAGTACAAGATAAAAATACCTCAACTGTATCTGCTTGCGTTTCTGAAGTTCTTGATTCCGAAGTTCTTCCAAACGTCTCAATTCTTCCTGACGCCGCATGAGATCTACCAGGATTCAAAACGTAATGAAGATAAAAGCTCTCAATTAACACCATGGTAACAACAAAAAAAAATCACTATCAGATTACCATTCTAACAATAATCAATTTTAAAATTAAAGCAATTTCTCAACACGTCTAACCAGCTCCTTCCCATTCAGCCAAGCTTGCCAAATGAAAAACCACAGGGACCCAAGGCTCACATGCTAAGGCACTACACTGACTATGCCTCCAAAGAAAATGATGGACACAGAAATTTCAAGCCCTCAAATAAGTAGAAGGGGAGCTTAAAAAAAAAAGTCTCAATCACTTTAATCATGTCCTGGTTTTACAGCTTTGACAAGGTATCCATTTTTCCCACAACGCTGCACACTGCTAAAGTCCCTTTAGCAAGGAAACTAGTGCAACTCATATTCCCCATCATCTATTGCAGACAATTGCACAACACACCAGAAACAAGTGAAACAAACTTGAGGTGTACATGATCCGAACCTCTAGAGAGATTAATCATGACTGGTCTTACAGTCACTTAGAAATAACTATAACCATTAACACTACCAGAAAGAATAGCCACATTCTTCTTTAAAAAGCACTTTAAAACGCTCTTCAAAAGCAAGCCAGAACTAATAACAATTACTTTAGCTCTATTTGATACTGCCCAGTCAGATTACTGATTTCTGCCTGGAAATATTCACTGAAGAATGCGTGAGTTAATTCCACCTCTTGCCACAATAAAAGCAGCTGTTTGCATACTCCATCTTCATAGCACATTGGCCACGTTATTTACAGATGCCATGAGGAAAACTCCACTGTGGCACCTATTAGATGTGTTTTATGCTTGAGTTCAACTACTCCACACATTTTTACATGCATTTCTTCACCACATTAATTAAATCATTTTATTTACTCTGCAAAAAACTCAAGCTTGCAGCAGCACATATTATTATAAACTTTTACACTGCTACATTTACCAAAATATCATGCACTTGTTTTCTTTTAACAAAGATCACCAGAATTTTACCATATATTTAATAAAGTTTACCAGATAACATCCTTATGGACAATATAAGTCTTCCCTCAAACAAGTTCTGCAGGCCTGCCTTTACCATCTCTGCAAAGTCAATGTATTTGAATGGACTAATGATTAAAGCAAAGATTCATTCAAATCAAAAAGTCACAGGACCATTTCCTTACAACAGTGCATACTATAGCAGACTTGGCCAATGCTATCTTCATACTCTGCCTCAGACTCCTTAAAATAACATTTAGATTGGTTCAGAGTATTAATGAGATCACAAATCGATCCACTCTGCATTCAGTGTTGGTCACTGTGGGAAAAAGTGTCTACTGCCTTCATTTTATTTCCCACTTACCTATCATTCCTGTTTTCCTTACATTAATATGCTGCAACAGTTTCTACCTTCTCTCTACTGCTAAGTGCTATGAATTTATCGTTTTCTCCCCTCTAAGTTCTACAGTCCTAATTTCACATATTTCTAAAAATTTTCGAGGCCTATTTCTTATTACTGTCCTTCCTGAAACTGTTAGAATTTAAAAGCTCAGCATAACAATTAGGTTTGGTACCACCTGACAATGGCAGAATCTTGACACGAAGCTTTACTAGCTAGACAAAAATAAAGATCTAGATGTTTGGGCTGTGCACAGAGCCTCTCAGAGGATTATATTAGAGGATTTGTAATACTGCTAATTCTGGACTGACATTTATTGGACACGGGTCCTTTCTCCGAACAGAAAAAAAACCTGCACTGATGCTGATAGCTGTGAAACAGATGGAAAGCATGACTATTGGCTTCTTCATCTTCTCATGCCTGAAGAAAAAAAGACAGACATTTTCAATATTCAACTTCCTGCAGATTCAAGGACTGGAGGCAAAACTGACCCCTCATCTCAGGAGTTAATCCTACACGCAGGAATACCAAGACCAAAAAGCTTCATTGTTTTAGCTGCTAATTTTTCTGGTTCTAAAAACAGAAAGCAAATGGCCAATTTCCATGCAGCTGATAAAGAATGAAGTTTCTGATTAAATCTAGTCAAATCTTCTAGTACTTTATCAAACTATTTCACTATCATTATGAGGGAATATTTACACAACTCTAAAGCATACCAGCAATATGCAGATCAGAAATATCACGCCAATTTACTTACACATGGAAACACATATTCTGCTTTACAAATTACTTCTGACTCAATCTGTCAAAACATGACACTTAAAAGTGAAAAATTACACATGTTGAAAGAGTGAAGTCTTTATCTTCAGTGTTAATACCATGCCATGAAAATTCAGGTACTTCAACCAGCATGTTCCAGTGCAAGTCCCAACACCTCTGATAAAGCAGTTTCATTAAAACTTGTTTTCCTTCGTCTGCTAAAGTATATGAATTGTAGGAAACTAACTGCTAACTACTATGCTATAGTTTTACATTCCATGTTTCAGAATAACTATTTCAACAACCTTTGCAATCAACTGTTTGGTTTGTGCACCAGGTATGCAAAAGTAGTCATTCCAGGTTCTGACGCTTTATGTTTCACTGCATCTTTCTTAAAAAGCACACGATTCAATCTCATTATTTTCATATACACTGAGGCTGAAGAGTTGGTGAGAAAAAAAAAACAAACCAAGAAACAAGCCTACAGCTCAGCTATTCAAATCCCTGCCTGTCAATAAGCTCAAATCTGAGCACCTGCACAAAATTCCAGGTTGTTTGGTACCAAAGAGAAGTGCTCCACTATAATCTAAGAGGAATGACTCTCTTCCCACAGCAACAAAAAGCTTATTTTCTCACTGGAATATTGGCACCAAAAGCATTCTTATTCCAGTGGCTCTTCAGCAGAAGGAATAGTCTTTTTCTTTCTGTGTAAAAGTGCATCTTAATAGATATTCCAAAACATGAAAACCTTTTCCTTCAGCGTCCATAGAAGGAGCTACAGTAACTATTTGGCATTTGAAATTTGTTGTTTTTTCTTATTATTTTATTATGCTCTGCACTGCAGTACAAGATTTTATTTATATATATATATATATATATATATATATATATAATATATGCTTGCATTAAATGAGAAACTTTTTTATATTTATATTATTATGTTTATATATATTTATATATATTATTATATTTATTATTTATATTTTTATGTATAAAAAGTTTCTCATTTAATGCAAGCATGCTCATTGAGAACCAATAAGACAGGTGAACTTCTTCCTAATGACAACTTTCAGTTGAAGCAAAACTAGTAAGTTTAAAAACTAAAATCAAATGGTGTTCTGTAGTTCTCAACTGGAAAGCAATGCAAACAGCAGTAATTGTGGGCCATCAACTTTTTGGGAAGAAAACTAACAAGCAGAAAATATCAGCTACTTGCCCTGTTTCTGCTTTCTCTGCCACAGAAATACAAGCTCAATTCAGCCCCATTTCCAAGGTAGGGCTTGAAAACAGTTTCTAAAGGACTATTTTTTCCCCCAAAACTACAGAAAGGGAACATTATCCACAAAGTTAAATAAGAGTGATGCACCATTTTATACCTTCAAGAATAATGAAGGTTAATGACAACTGTCACTTATTTTGAGTTGCCTACAATAATCGTGCGTACAGATTTCTCAGTTGGGTTTCAAATGTTTAAAAAAAAGAGTAAAATTATTTTGGATTGTATTGGAGAGGCACAATCAGCTATAACTATGAGCTATCATTTTACAATTTTTTTCTTGCCCAGGGCACACAAACAGTGCTTTGTCCTATCTAGTACCATAAGCAACACCAACAAAAAATAATTTTACAGATGAATTTGAGGCTACCATTCATTCTTGTTATATAAACTATTTACAGCACAAAAACTTAAGTGAAAAAATACACCTAGGCAACCTCCCTTTTGTCAGCTTCTTAATCCATTACTGCAAATCCTCAAAGACTATGCAAATAGAGAAATACTACTTCCTTTGCTTCGGTTCAACACATTTAATTAAATAGCATCTACCAGAAATCTCTGCATTTAACATACAGCTCAATATGCTACAGAAAGAAAATTTGTGAAAAGAAAAGAATTAATGCTAATACATTATCTGATTGTTTACCTTGCCTCATCAACATTAGCTGATGCTCATGTCTAGCTGCTTCCATTTCTGCCTCTAGTTTCTCTTTGGCTTCTCTAATGTTCCTGTCAACCTGTTCACGCTGTTGCTTTTCCATCTCATCAAGAGCCTTCCAACGTGAAGCATACTCAAACTCAAATGTTCCAGGTTGAGCAAAACGTGGAGGCTGTTCTCTTTCCCTAATAGAAATTTTGCAGTTAAAATGTACAGAAGGACACGTTAAGATCAACAGCTGTAACAGCCAAAGAATTTACAAACAATCACTTCAAATATAGTAATCTGATGCAAAGTCAGATCTGCGTTGCAAACCAGTTTGTCAGAGTTTAATTCAGCTGTTAATGCGGTAAGTAATCTGATCAAAGAAATCTTGCAAATAAATATCTACTCAATTTATATAATCAACATAAAAATGTTTAATTACCATGGTACGAAACATTTAGCTGTGACATTAGAAGGGCGAACCCAGTTAATCTGAAGTGGTCACATCATATAAGAAATTAAATGCATATTAAAGCTTACTAAACAGTTCAGACTGTTAGTAAGAATATTTAAATATTTAAAGGTACCAACATTTTATTCACATTCTAACACTAATGTTGTAAAGAACAATAATTTTTTTTTTCAAGTATTACTCTACAGGTTTACCTGCTTACCAGAGTATTTTAGTTTCAAGCAGCAAGATTTCTAAATAGCAATCAGATCTGAATGTTAGAAGTAATATTCTCTAATGAAGTGAGGAAAACCCTCTTTCACCTCATGCTAAAGACTCTTTTTTGCTCAAAATTACATCTAAATCACAGAAGCTGCCAAGATTTACAGCCCATTGACTCTACAAAGAAGGTGGTGCTAGTCAGAGGACAAAATTCTGTGGGTGTACACATCTCTGCAGGATCAGACCGCACCCCAAGCTCACAAAAGACTATCAGTGACTGGCAGTAAGCTCCAGCTGATTTCAGCAGAGACCAGGAATCTCTACTTCAGTAAAATAACAGAATGCTAAAACAACAAGACTCCATTTTACTATGATTAGAAAAACTAAAAAAGCTGCTTGTTGATCTTTAGACAAAAACCAACGTAACATTACAATAGTTAAGTTGGAAGGAGCCTAAAAGATCCTAAGATTCAACCGCTGGGACGTGGGGGTGCTGGTGACCACAGCTCAGCGCCAGCCAGCAGTGTGCCCCAGCAGCCAAGGGACAAACCACCTTTTGGGGAGTATTAAACACAACATGGCCAGCCAGTCCCATGAGGCGATTCTCCCACTGTATTTAGCACTGGTGCAGCCCAGCCTTAAGTACTGCATATAGCTCTTGGCTCCAAAGTATAAAAAAGATGTAAAGGTACCCAAGAGCATTCAGAGGCAGACAGTAAAGCTGGCAGGACTGCAGGGTACATCCTATGAGTGGCAGAAGACATTGTTTATCTAGTTTAGGGAAAAGGAAGGGAAGTGCAGACAGAGGTACCAGGCTCTTCTCTTCAGTAACCGATGACCAATGGTACAAAGCCGCACCAACAGAAGTTCAGACTGGATACAAGGAAAAAAATTCTTTGCCATGAGGGTGGTTCACACCCTGTGCTTGTTGATGGTCAAGAGGCAGTTGGATAATAGTGTAACTTTTGGTCAGCCTCAAGTGCTCAGGCAGTGGACTCAATGATCTTTGAAGGCCACTTCCAACTGAACTATTCTAATGCCAATTCTGCGTACAGAAATGACACACTGCTTTTCTGCAGGAAAAAGTTAACTAACCTAACAACTGGCTTCCCCTTGGCTGTACAAAATAAACACACACCAACCTGAAATAAAAATGTTAGCTTACTAAATACTCTCTTAGTAACTTAATTTTATAAAGTTAAAAGTCAAACTGAACTTACTTGTGATACTGTTGTGTTTTCTGCATTAGCTTCTCTGGGAGCCCATCTTCATCATCAAATTGCTCCATTGGCTCTACAACAACAGGTCGAGGTGTTCTGGAAGAGAATTTCAATTGAATATCTGAATAATGAAAGGAACAGTAAAATAAGCTGTTTTGGTATTTTGAAGCAGCACTCTTGGAAACTAACATATTATCTCATAGTTCTGCAAATTCTTCTGAAATAACTCCAATTAATCCTAATTTCAAAAATCATCTTTGAAAGTGACAATTGGTTCTACACCCAAAACCAGCTAAGCTCTTCTGTATAGAAAATACAACTTCATGTAGTTTTGGCTGCTGAGAAGCATAGGAATATTTGAAGCTGAAGAAGATCTCACAAATGTTACAAATTATTTAGACAGTGTGGGAACGATGATTATAACAGTACAGCACCAAACAAAGCCAAAAGGTAGTAATATTCACTCTGCTCATACTTCCACAGAATATGAACAGATTCTAATTATGGTTACTCTACAATTCAAAACAGTTTGATATTTTTGCAGTGATTTTTCAAAGATAGTTCTAGAAGAACTTCTACATAACGTAGACTGCATTCTTGGAGTTTGCAGTATTTGAAGTAATCAGAGTCAAGTATTAGCTAACAATGGATAACAATAAAATCTTGTATATAACAACTACACCAGTTCTGGGAGCATATAAACAATACCTTAAAATTTTAAGAGCTACAAAGCTCCTACTGTCAAAATGCCAGCACTTTGGATTTTGTTCCACAATTATTATTATTTTTTTTAACTGTGCAGATCATAGAAAACAAAATGTTTATGTATTTTAAGAACATGGACAGCTGGAAAAAATCTTTAGGCATCAGAGTAGAGGGGGGGGAAAAAAACAGCCTGGAATCATAATACACAACACTGCAAGTATTTCTCCTAAAATTTCTCCTTTCTATTCAGAGATCTCCCCTAAAATATCAAGTTTCTAATTTTTAAAGCAAAACAAAAACCATCACAGCACAAAAACCATCATAGCAGGAGATTCACATTAATCATGTTAGCTTAGGTGTCTGATGCGTTTCCTAATGTGCAGCTGAAAGACAAAGATCAAGTGCTTTTTATTCACTAAGTCATGGTTAGATGATCACTTCCATCAAACAAAGCTAGCAGCTACTGAAACAAGAATATCCTCCCTCGTATCCAGCTTTTTTTTCCCCTACCACATCTCTCATGCCAAGAATAGTACTCATGTAACACTATAGCATTCACTGAACTAGACTAGTTGCCTGGTTTGGCTCACCATGCCTCCACTCAAACACTAACGCCAAGAAAATCCACAACAAATAAGAACAAATTGCCAATGCCTACTGATTGTAGCAGAGACTTACACTGAATTTACTATGTACTCACCAGGTCAGATAACCAAGACTCAGTCCAGTCGCACATACGATTTATGATGTTATTATCAGCAAGAGGAGTTCCAAATCCTCTTTCCATGTCCATCTCATCACAGCAACATATTTTCCTGCCTTATCCTCAGCTGGACCTGGTGCTCTTAACACCCAGTAAGCAAACACCTTCACTTTCTAAAACAGCCAGAAATGAATGTAACAACAGAAGCCACGTACTTTTCCTCTGTTTCAGTAAGCACAGGTGGCTATTGGAAGTATCAAACAGTTCTCAAGATAAAAGCAGCCTGAATCAGAACTGCAACTTCCCAACACTATGGCAAGCCTTGACACTGTGAAACTGCAGCCTTAATTTCCCAAATTATAGGGGGTAAAAAAAAAAAAAAAGAAGAAACAAAAACATTCCTGAACATCTACCATTTTACTGAGCTTTTATGAAAATATTGGAAGCTGTCCCTAGCTACCATACAAAAAAGCACAACAGTTAACAACTCTTTTCAATGGGCACCAAAATAAGAAATGGTAGAGAGAAGTACTGTAAATCACAAGCTTACTTGACCTTGAAATTTTTCCAGAAATTTCTGCCATCAAATTGTGCAAAACCTAAGTTCACATTCAAAAAGAAAAATCCTACATCTTTGAAAGCTATAAATAAAGCTTTCTTGAAGACAATAAACAAAATAACATTTTCCCGAGTTTAAAGAAATATCAGCAAAGTCACACAGTCCTTTGCCAAGGAGAACATCCTTACCAGTATCATTACTGGGATCAGGAAGAGTGCAGTCAGTGAAAATAAAGCCTCATTAAAAAAAGCCCTATTAAACAGGTTGGAATCCAAAATTACAAGACTTATAAGCAGAAGAGTGGCTTTATTTTTTTATTCTCCAGTGTGGAGAACAACGTATTTCAGGCATTCATGTAAAGCACCTTTTATTTCTGACCTCACTGCTTTCATCATTTGAAAATAAGAACTATGGAATGCCCTGGAATGCTATTTTCTTTCACATGAGAAATGCATACTCAACACATATGCAAACAAAATCCCGTGAACTTACGTTGTTAGCAAGAATGCACCATCACTGCATCTTTCTAGAGCTTTCCGTGCCGGAGGTTTTGCCGCAAACTCTACGAAACCTTTTCCTGTAGCTCTGCCGCGATCATCTACTACAACTACAGCTCTCTCCACTGGTCCAAATTGAGAGAATGCTTGTTCCAGCAGCTCATTAGAAACCACAGGTGAAAGATTCTTGACCGTTAGGGCAGCTCCATGCGTAGCAAATCGAATTCGAAGTGGTCTGCTCTTCAAAATAGTACCATCAAGTTCTGCTTTTGCTATTTCGGCCAGTGTCCTAGATTCCTTTGTTAAGATACAAAACATTGTATATGTTTTATTTGCAAAGACAACAGAGATGGCTTTTGTGCTGTTGTTCCTCCCCTCCAAACCCCAGAAAAGTAGCATTTTTTCTTTCTTTAATAGGAGCTCATTTTCATTAGGGTCATTTAGCACTCATTTTTCCCTTCCAAAAGTTCCTATCCACTGACTGCCACAATATGCACTTTTCATCTCCTACGATTTAGTCTAAAAAAAGTTACTTGGATGCACATTTTTCTTACACATTGGAGGACATAACATTCTCATCATCACAGATACGTCTGTACTGTGCTGTAAAGGCTTTCAGCAGAGTTGAGAATTTGACGCCTTTTTATATTTACCTACTGAAACCCTTAGATTCACACAGGAACTGTTCCTTACAGGAACAGTATTTTCAGAGATCACACTACAAGATCTAAGGTGCTGGTGCTTTCTGGGATATTTTTTTTAATCAATGAAAATATCCTTTGAAAATAACTTGCTTGTTGCTACCATTGGATGAACTCTCCACGTATGTCTAATTCTCATCATTTCTTGATGAAATTACATTGTTACTGCTCTATCAATTCCTCTCACACTTACGGGTTTTCTGCGCCCACATCCATGAGACAAGTCCATCTCAATGACTGCCTTTTTCTCATTTCAGAAATCCTCAACTAGTTTTATACCCGCAATCCCAAATATTTAAACAAGTAATTCTCAAGGTGGCAGACATTTTCTCCACGCCTCGACCAACCACATAAATGGTTTAAAAATATTACCCTCTTAATATAGTGCAAAAGGGACATTTGGATAGATGCTAATCTCTACTAAGTGCAGAACTGAGTAATATATACAAATATATTGCTCTCCCTACAGAAAGCTGTTAATCCAGGTTGGGAGTATTCAGTCACAGTAAAAAAACAGATAGCAGAATACCACACTTATATGTGACAACCAGAAGATTAAAAGAAATCCTAACCAACAAAATATGCAGAAAAAATCCTAAATAGGGATGGCACAGAAAGCACTTTAAAGCTTTTCTCTGAACTCTGTAAATCAGAGCATCCTAGATGTGGCAGTCAGGAAACCTAATCCTGCACATGGAACTGAAAAATGTAAATGCAGCACGACACGCATTGAGGATGATTTCTTTTTTGAACGCTTGATTTGAAGTAATACTGGTCAAAATGTATGAGCCCGAGAAAATGCAATCTCATTAAATTCAGACAGTTTCCAATTCGGTACAAGTGTGAATTACGCGTTCTGAGCTTTCAATACGTGTGACCAACGGTATTTAAAACAAACCCGTGCAATCTTTAAAATTAACCGCATGAGGAAATACTCATAAAGAACCGCACAGACCGAAATTTGCTTCGGCACTGAGAGTCCTGAAGTACAATAAAACGCTCCCAGTTAACGAAAGAAAAATCTTTTGACGCGCATTCAACGAACGGAGCGGATCGCACAAGACCTCCCACCGGCAGAGCTGCGGGAACGGGCCGAGCAGCGCGTCAGCGGGGTCGGGGGAGGGACCGAGACCCGCACAGCCCCGAGGGGGGAACGCCAGGGGCTGACGGCGCGGCTCGGCCGGGGAGCGCGGAGCGAGGGGGCGGGAGGGGGCGGAGAGCGGCGCGAGCAGCGAAGGACAAAAAGGGAACGCGAGGCGGCGGCTGCGCCTCACGGCCGCCCCGCGGGGAGAACGCGGCGGGGCGGGGCGGGCCGCGAGCCCCGCGCGAAGCTCACCAGGCGGATGAAGCCGAAGCCGCGGTCCCGGTTGATGAAGACCTCGCTGGGCTCCCCGTAGCGCTCGAAGAGGCGCTTGAAATCTTCCTCGGTGATGTCGGTGGGCAGGTTGCCCACAAACAGGCGGCAGCGCTGCGTGTAGCTCTTCTCGCCGGGTTTGAGAAAGCTTTTGATGTCGATGGTGAACCCGCCCTCCTGCTCCTCGTCCCCCCCCTCCTTGCCCGGCACCAGCGCCATGGCCGCCGCCTCGTTCTCCGTCTCCAGGCCCCGCAGCCCCTTCAGGCCGCCGCCGCCGCCGCCGCCCCCCACCATCCCCAGCGGCGCCGCCGGGGAGCTGTTCTCGATCCGCACTTGCTTCAAGTTCCGATTCGCCGCCATGTTCGGCCCTCGCTCCCTCCGCCCCGGTTTTCTCGGAGGACGCGGAGCCGCGCTCGGCAGCCACCGCCTCCGACCCACAGCCGATTCAAAATGGCGCCGCGGCCGCCCCCGACGAGTTGTAACGTCCCCGCGGCCGGCCCCGCCCACCGGCGGCCGCTCTCCCTCGCCGGCCGCCGCGCCTGCGCGCTGCGCTCCCCGCGGCTCGTCGCGGGGAGGGGGGAGCGGGCTGCGCACGCGCCTCGCCGCGCGGCACGGCGGGGCCGCGGAGGAGCCGCGGCCGCCCGCGGCGGGCCGGTCCGCTTCGGGCGCCGTCGTCGCCGTTCGGCTGTGGGAGCCGGGCGAGCCCGCGTCAGACCGCGGGAGAACGGCCTTCGCATCTTCGGGGCCCTGCGGCTCGGCCCGGCCGGGAGCTTCCCCGCCGCTTTCGGCCAGCGCGGCTCCCTCGGGCCTTACCCACCCGCCGCGAATCCCGCCGAGCTCGGCGGAGCGGTGCTCTGAGGCGCGTCCCAATCGCGCGCGCTCCGCCGCGGTCCGTAGCGAGGCGCGGGAACGGCCTGCGGGGCTCCGCGCCGAACGGAGGGCGGCGGCCCGGCGGGACCCGCGCTCGACGCCGAGGAGACTGCGGGGAACGGCGCAGGGAGACGGAGAGCCGAGCGCTGTGCAGGCAGAGGGAGGGCCCCGGGCTGCAGGAACGCGCCCACTGTTGGGTGCGGGCGGCACGGCTGCGGGGGCAGGCCTTGCTGCGCGGGATGCCGGCACGGCGCTGCCCTGCCGCTGCTGCCGCCCTGTGAGGCGGCGGCTTTCGTTCAGACAAAGCGCTGTGCTCTGCCTGGGCCTCGCAAGGATCTGGTAGAAGTTGTTCTTGCTTCCGATTCCCATTGTGGCCTGAGCACGAGCCGGGGAGAAAACAACTTTTTTATTTATACAGCTATAACAATTAAAAAGAAAAAACACATCTCTAGAGAACCTTCAGCGGTTAGTATTTACTTAGCTAATCCATGACATGGGCTGTTCTTTTTCAAAGCAACAATAAGCGTGATACTGAAGAAGTTGGCTCCACGGCAGGTGTGAGCGCTTTGCTGAGCAATTTCACAGGATCAGAATGTCCTGTGTTGGAAGGGAGCTGTAAAGATCATGAGTTCAACTCCTGGCTCCACGCAGCACCAGCCGAGAATCAGACTGTATGTCTGAGAGCATTATCCAGAGGGAGCTGGAGTTATACAGTTTGGAGAAGAGGAGGCTCAGGGGAGACCTTATTGCTCTCTATAACTACCTGAAAGGGAGTTGCAGTGAGTTGGGGGTCAGCCTCTTCTCTCACGTAACTGGTCTTAGGGCTAGAGGGAATGGCTTCAAGCTGAGCCAGGGGACATTCAGGCTGGATGTTAGGAAATACTACTTCTCTGAAAGAGTGGTCAGGCACTGGAATGGGCTGCCCAGGGAGGTAGTGGAGTCACCGACTCTGGAGGTGTTAAAGGAACGTTTGGGCGTTGTGATGAGGGATATGGTTTAGTGAGAGCTATTGGTGATGGGTGGATGGTTGGACTGGATGATTTTGTGGGTCTTTTCCAAACTTGGTGATTCTATGGTTCTTTCCAGAAGCCTGTATCTGGATGGCATAGATGCTGGCATTAATTGGCTGTGCGGTCCTGAGCAGCTAGGAGATAGTCTGAGCCTCACTGCCACTGGGCACAAACACACAAACAGGTGTGCACATGTGTATGCTGCCTCTATGCATATCAAGGATAAGAGGGTCAATAGAGGCAGACAACATGGCTTCACCAAGAAGTCATGCTGGACCAACCTGATAGCCTTTTATGAAGATGTAACCAGGTGGATAGATGATGGTAAAGCAGTGGATTTGGCCTGTCTTGATTTTAGTAGAGCATTTGACACTTCTCCCACAGAATCCTCGCAGCTAAACTGAGGAAACGTGATCTGGACAATTGAGTTGTGAGGTGGACTGTGAATTGGCTGAAGGAAAGAAGCCAGAGAGTTGTGGTCAATGGGACAGAGTGAGTCTAGTTGGAGGCCTGTATCTAGCGAAGTCCCTCAAGGGTCAGTACTGGGACCAGTGCTATTCAATATATTCATCAGTGAGTTGGATGAGGGAGTAGAGAGCACTGTTAGCAAGCTTGCTGATGACACAAAACTGGGAGGAGTGGCTGACACGCCTGCCACCCAGCAAGACCTAGACAGGCTGGAGGGTTGGGTGGGGAG